TACCCAGAAAAGAGTTTTCCACTTGGATTGACTCTCACAAGCAGGTGCTGCTGGAAGGTTCCAAAGGTTTTCCAGGAAGTCAGGCAGCTGCCTTGTTTGGGGGATGCTGCACAGGAAGAAGTGGGAGTGCTTGGGCAGACAATAATTCCTACTGAGCAAATAAATTTGTGAAAGCTATTGCACTTCTATAACTGTTCCACTTGTATTGTTTTATTCTTGCATTTTATTATCTATCTCAGTGCCTCTGCTTTCTACCTGCACTCCAGAAGAGATGGATGGTGCATCTCACCTACAGTATTAAAAGGTGATTTTCCCCCAGTTTCAGTTAATTTAATATACCTGATTTTCCACTGCCTTACAAGACTGAGAGATACAATTCTTTTGAACAAGTAAGGCGGCTGCACAGCATGAATAAATTCTGTGCAGCTTCCCAAGGAGATAACACTGTGCAGTGGCAGCTCTAACCTTTCCTTTTTGCTCTCGTTTTGCTCTGATGTCTATTTTTATGCAGTAATCTTATTCGAGAAACAAAATGAAAAAAGAACATTGCTATTCTTGGAAAGCTTCCAATATGCTGGATGAGAGATAAGAGACAGGCAGCATCTCCCTCCAAGGGTTGTTTTATGGTCACAGGCAAAGGTGTCATCCCAACAGCGTTGGGAATGAGATACTGGAGTGTCACTTAATCAGTCAGTGATCAGGCTTGGATGGGGAACCACGTGGGTGGTTCCTAATAAATAGAATTAAAAAAATCCTAATAAATAGAATTAAAAAATAAAACCAAACAACTCTTCCAGCCTTGGCCCGGGTTCTCAGCTCCCTTGGCTGGGGCTCAGAGGTGGGGAACAAACACAACCCCCGAGTGCAACAAGGGGATGATTCATCAGAGGAAACTTAGAGCCTCCAACAACAAGGTGATTCATCCTTTGAGTGCTAATGGTGTTTTGCAGAGAGCTCAATTGATTGATTTTGATTTTCCAACCCAAATGGTTTGCAGGCATCCACGTGTGTGCAACCAGGGACCAGGCATGGAACGGGGACTCTGGTTGAAGAAAAGGGACCTTAAAGATCATCTTGTTCCAGGTAGGATGGAGCTCTGAGCAGCCTGGTCTAGTGGAAAATGTCCCTGCCCATGGAAGGGGGTGGAATGAGGTGGTCTTTAAGGTCCCTTCCAACCCAAACCATTCTGGGATTCTGGGATTCCATAGGAAATCCAGCAGCTCCTTTGCTGAGACACAATTAGGAGGCTGTTAAGAATCACTTGGGGTGATAAAATACACATTATTGAGCATCTTCTCTGAGCTCTCTTAGACCTTGAAAAGCAAAGGCTGAGGTCCTGGTAACAAACTACAGGGATGGAAACGTAAATCATTGTTTTGATGAAAAATGGACCCAGTTCCCACTGGGGATAAACCCAGAAATTTCTAAAGGCACCTGCACACTTCACCCCCCTGGATTTCAGGGGCAGCTGGGTAACTATGTACCTTTGAAAAACTGGGCATTAATGTCTTTTATAAAGGTTTCAGTTATCACAACTTTCGTCAAGGGTGAATTTCCACTGACCACATAGATGGGGTTTTCAGTTCTCTGCACATTTATTTCCTTTCTGCAGAGGAGGACACAAATAAATATTATTAAGTGGCTGGGATATTTTGTATTTTTTTAGTACAGAGAGTCACTTTCAATGGCTACCAAGAAACAATTAGAACTGCTGGGTTTGTGGTTTGCTTGTTTTCTCCCTCCTTGCCCTTTTATGCAAAGCCCTTTGCTGCAGCACCGTGCCAATGCAAATGCAGGGCAAGCACCTGCTTTTTAACCTCTTGAACCAGGGCTGGTGAGAATTGCTGCACCATTGATCAGGAGGCACAGAACAGTGAACTGTGCTCTGGGAATCAGCATAATCAGGCAGATGGTGGCGTGAAAGTGTTCGCTGAGTGATGTTTTCAGGAATTAGGGGGTGACAGAGCATTGCACTGAAGTTGTGTGAAATCACATCACGACCTACAAGCCAGGATGGACAGCCAGAGTGCCCCAAAACCACTTATTTAATGGGGTTTATCCACTGCCTAGGACAAAGCTCCCGAAGAATCCACTTGTTCTGTACTGTTACTGTTTAAAAATTGCTGTCTGCCTGAACAGTCCAGCTGTCTGAGCTGAGCAGGATTTCAGGGCTGCATTTCAAACTCTTTCACCCATCACGAAAGGGGAATCATTCAAAGATCCTGCTCTTACCTGGGGCCACCTGAGGAGTTTGCCTTGGCTGTCCTGGAACACTGTGAAGTGTTCAGAGTGTGAGTGTGCAGAGCATGAGGGGATGCTCTGTGCTCCTACATATTATTACAAGGGGGAAAATGCCTCCAAACTGAAAGTAAGTTTAGATTAAATTTTTGGAAATAAATCTTCCCTGGGAGGGTGGGGAGGCCCTGGCACAGGTTGACCAGAGAAGCTGTGGCTGCCCCTGGATCCCTGGAAGTGTCCAAGGCCAGGTTGGACAGGGCTTGGAGCAACCTGGGCTAGTGGAAGGTGTCCCTGCCCATGGCAGGGGGTGGAATAGGATGATCTTTGAAGTTCCTTCCAATCCAGGCCATTCTGGGATTTTATGATTCCATGATCTTCCCAGCAGATTTAAGCATTCCCAACTCCTCTTGTGAGTTTGTGCTCATGGGCTGACCAGATTCAGATTAGAAAGCAACACGTTTTTACACAAGCAATTAATTCATCCCACTTTTCCCTCACTGGCCTTCACTGATCTCTTTTTCTTTTGGAGCCATCACCACTACCTGGTTGTCTCCCTAGAAGTAGCACAAGTGTTTTGCAGTTTGCAGAGCTGACCTGCACATCTCCGTGTGGCTGTAAAAGCCTAAAAACTCCCCGAGAGCTTTGCCCTCCTCATGACACCAAACATGACGTGACATCCTTCAAACCACACCACCATTATTTTCTTAAAATCACCTTCCTCAGTGTATTTGTTCAGCCACGAGCCAGAGATGCTGAACTGCCTCTTCAGGAGATGCTGCCAGTCACTGCAAGATCTTTTAACTTGGATTTCCCCCCATTTCAGAATTGTTGCCAAGGAGATTTGGTGTGAGGGGATCCCCATGTTCTGCTTCCCAAAGGCTGAGTTTGCTGCTCTGCAGGACTGGCTGCTTGAGGGGCCAAATGAACTCTCACAGGCCAGACTGTGGAAATCTTTATCATCAAGATTAATTTCCAAATCAATCCAAAATTATTTCCAAATCAGGACGAGTGAGAACCTCTGCTGGTCGTGGCTGCCCAAAGCTTTTGCATCCAGCAAGGAGGATGCAGAAGTTGATGATCCACCTCATCCAACAGGGCAGGCTTGAGCAACAGATTTGCTGAAGGAGACCTGACCATTGTCTCACCCCCAGGAGAGGAGGCTGCTCCCCTTTGCCTCTGGTTAGACAGACTGTGCCTGTTTCCATGGTGATAAGGGACACACTGAAAAAACACTACTTTGCACATCTTTAGAAGCCTTTGCAGTGCTGTGCTCCAGTGATTTCATTAAAGACAGTGGTAATGATAGTAAGATGTCAGGACTCTGTAATGTCAGAGGTGTAAAGAAGAATTGCATTAAAATAGGGAAGTACTGGGAGTCCCACAAGCCCAAATCAGAGGAAACTGGAGAGTTACACCCAATAAATAGTTTCTTTTATTCTGATGTTCTTCCCAAGGCATTTCTTGTTGCTCTCTACTGAAGGCAACATGTTAAGCTGGATGGACCAGTGGTAAAGTCCTGTTTGTCCTCTCTGATGTCCCTGTATTCCCAAACCAAGAGCAGCTGAGACAAATTTGTGGCTCTTAGACACATGGATTAGTGGTGGGTTTGGCAGTGTTGGATTAATGGTTGGATTCAATGTACTTAGAGGTCTTTTCCAACCTCAGTGATCCTATGATTCTAAATAACACTCCCAGAAATTTGGATCATGTTGCACAAGTTAACTGGCTTGTACAGATTCAGTTCAAAAAAGGACACCCATCTAACTGTGAAAATTCTCAGAAACACCCAAGTTTCATTCGAGCTGGGCTGGCCAGCAAGGCAGGAGTCACCTCACATAAAACATGCAGGGATAGGAATGGCTGGTCCATCAACACTGGAATGAAGCAGGAATGTTTCCAAATAAACAGGCAATGGAGATGGGGAAGAGCCTTAAGGGGAAGATGTTTGAGGAGCAGCTGAGGGCACTTGGTGTGTTCAGCTGGAGAAGAGGAGACTGAGGGCAGAGCTCAGTGCAGTTCCAGCTGCCTGGGCAGGGGCAGAGGAGGGGCAGGGACTGAGCTCTGCTCTGGGGGGACCAGGGACAGCACCCAGGGAATGGCTGGAGCTGTGCCAGGGCAGGGTCAGGTTGGATCTCAGGCAAAGGTTCTTCCCCCAGAGGGTGGTTGGGCACTGCCCAGGCTCCCCAGGGCAGTGGGCACGGCCCCAAGGCTGCCAGAGCTCCAGGAGGGTTTGGATGATCCTCTGGGGCACAGGATGTGACCCTTGGGGATGGGTCTGTGCAGGGCTGAGGGTTGGACTGATGATCCTTGTGGGTCCCTTCTAACCAGGTGTGCTCTGTGACTGTCTGTGCCACAGGAAGGCAGAGCCCCGGGGCCGCTCCCGGTGCCACAGTGCAGCTGCAGCGAGTAGAAAATGAAACAGCATTTGCATATCTCCCCATTTCACAGAAAGCCGGTGGAGGGCGGGGGCCGACTGGTCTGGGGAACCGTTCACCTTCTGACATCAGACACCTCCGTGCAGGGCTCCGAGAGCCCGGGAGAAATCCCTGAGCAGGAACATGAGGCTCCTGCCCCTGCTCACAGCCGCGTCCTGCCCGCACGCCCCCGGGGCTCTCGCCCTCTGTGCCGCGAGTGATGAAGGTTTTTTTCCGGATCACATGAGCCAGGATGAAGGGGGAAAATCCTGCCAGGAGCAGAGATGGGCTGCAACTTGAACCCGACCGAGGGGAGATACAGAGCAGCACCTCGAGAGCTATATAAGAATGTGCCAGGCACAGGAGCAAACAGTTGTTCAGGTGAGGGACTCGCGTGAATCAGCCATGCATGGCAATGAAGACGCTGTTTCGAGGAGGCTCGGGGGCACCAGCAGAATCTATTTGTATTTCATCATCGCCACCCTCGTGGCATTGCTCGTCTTTGCATTGGCCACCATCATGATCCTGGTGGTTCAGAGGACGGTAAGAGGCGTCTTCATTGGATCTTTTCTTTTTCTCTGCCCTTTCCCTTTCTTTTTCTCCTTTCCAAAATTTACCTGTTGCTCCCTCTGTTATAAATGCACACACGTGAATTAGGGGAGAGAAAGATGAAACAAAGAGGGAGAGTAAAGCACTTCAAAAGAAGATGACTCTTCTCCATGGGCAGTTTTAATTTCTGGCACGGAATTTCTGCTCTGTAAATGGGAATAGAAAGCTCGTGATCCAAGATGCCAGCCAGCCTCTGTCCTGCCTCCTTAGGAGAGATGGAGAGAAGTTCCATCGTGCCTCAGTGTTTGCTCCCTGGTTTTGTGTGTCTCCTGTTGTTTCTTTGGAGAACAACCACGTTTTGAGATGGTTCGGTCTGGTCTGGTCGTGCCTACCTGTGTTCATCCAAAATAGAGATTAATTCCAGCGATGGATGTGCCAGAGGACACTTCCATGTGACCCAGGTGGTGCTGTGGGTGCGTCCTGGCAGATGCAGAGCTCTCCTGACCCACCCAGAGCAGTGGATGGGGGCAAAGCAGCTCGTTCCTGCTCTCTGTGCTGTGCTGGGGTGTGATTTTTAATGCACAACTAGAGCTACAGCAAGGAGTGCTGAGGATGTGAGACGAGGTCTCACAAAAATAACTGTTCCCTCAGCCCACAGGCATAATTTCCTCCTTAAAAGAGAGGAGAGCTCTCGAGTGCATCTGGGGTTGAGTGGGGAATCAGTGGGACAGTGACAGAGCAGAGCTACAGGTGGCTGTGGGTATAAAAAGTGCATTTTTAACCTCACCAGGAGCGTTTCCCATCAACTTCACCGGGGTAAAATGCCAGGTTGGAAGTTTTACAGGCTTTGAAGTCTCATTGCAAAAATGGAAGTGCTGAAGTACCTCCACTCCTGTTCATACAATGAAAGCACCAGCAAAGGGCTGCTGGAGGAAGGTGGCCATGGAAAACAAAATATGATCCTTTGACTCAATATTTTCTCTTCCTAAATTTACCCTGTGCAATTTGTGTGCACATTACCCAGAAATGAAACCATGAAGGCTTGACTGATACTTCTTTAAGCTCCATCAGAGAGGAGTCATTTACCTGTAATCAGTGTTCTTCCAAAAGAGAAGCAGTTTGAGGGCAGTTAAAGTGAGACATGGGGATTTTTAAGTGATAAATAGTGGCATATTAAGGGAGATCTTTAAAATAACAAGCTGGGTAATTACAGACTTGCCACAGCTTTTCTATATAATGAGGCTTTTATTTGTACTTATTATGAAAGTAAGCAGTAAATTACCTCTCCACCAGGATAAACACAGTTACACCAGTAACAATATCACTGAAAGAGTCAAGGTTTTGACTTAAAAGAGTAATGACACCGTTGCAGCTGCTTTGAAAATGAGCTTGGCTGAAGGAGGAAATAGGAAGCTGAGGTGTGTGAGAAACAAATAAAATCAAGCAGCAATTTTCCGCTCTGAGGAGAATTTGGCAGTAAAAGCCACAAACTGTGCTCTTGCTCTCAGGGAGATGCACGACCCCGAGTTCAGGAGCAGTGTAATCATCCTCCATCCGTGACTGGTTTGGATTTCCAGACCAGGGAGCAAGTGTTGATTCTGTGAGACAGAAACATTTCAGCTCCTGGTGGCACCTCAGGGGAAGGCTCCTTTGGAAACACAGCTGTGGTTGGGCTGAACACCTCATAACTTTGACTTCAGCAGCTCCAGGGAAAGGGACTGGAGAGTTTTGGAGCCCTGTGGATATTGAGTCCTGTTGCTGCAGGGATTAGAGCATCACCAAGGGTCAACCAGGCCAAGGGCCGGGTCCTGCACTTTGGCCACAACAACCCCCTGCAGCCCCACGGGCTGGGACAGAGTGGCTGGAGAGCAGCCAGGCAGGAAGGGACCTGGGGGCTCTGACTGACAGCAGCTGAACATGAGCCAGGGGGGCCCAGGGGGGCAAGAGGGCCAATGGATCCTGGCCTGGCTCAGGAACAGTGTGGCAGCAGGAGCAGGGAGGGGATTCTGCCCCTGTGCTGGGCACTGGGGAGGCCACCCCTGGAGTGCTGTGCCCAGTTGTGGCCCCTCAGCTCAGGAAGGACATGGAGGGGCTGGAGCAGGTCCAGAGAAGGGCAACCAGGCTGGGGAAGGGTGTGGAGCACAAGTGCTGTGAGGAGAGGCTGAGGGAGCTGGGGGGGCTCAGCCTGGACAGGAGGAGGCTCAGGGGAGACCTTCTCACTCTCTACAACTCCCTGCCAGGAGGGGGGAGCCCGGGGGGGTCGGGCTCTGCTGCCAGGAACCAGCAGCAGGACAAGAGGGCACAGCCTTGAGCTGCCCCAGGGCAGGTTTAGGTTGGCCATTGGGCAGAAGTTGTTTGCAGAGAGAGGGATCAGCCCTTGGAATGGGCTGCCCAGGGAGGGGGGGGAGTCCCTGTCCCTGGAGGGGTTTGAGCAGAGCCTGGATGTGGCATCAGTGCCATGGTCTGGGTGACAAGGTGGGGTTGGGTCACAGGTTGGACTCGATGATCTCAGAGGTCTTTTCCAACCCAGTTGATTCTGTGATTCTGTGATCAATTGACTTAATTATTCTCTTTGCAATTCTCGAAGAAGGGACCAATTTTTGTGTGATCACCCTCTTGGGATGGTCAGGTTTTCTCTCCAGATGTTCCCAGCTGGATTATGTGAGTGGTCCTTCACCTCAGGGGCAACTTCACGCCCTCCTTATGCTGAGCAGAGATAGAAGCTTTTCTTTTCCTCTGCTCAAAGGGGTGTTAGAGGGTTGTAGGGACAACACAGGTGTTGTGACACTTGTCTTGGGTGCCACAGCATTAAAGGGAGGCTTCTGGTGGCAGCAGATCACACAGCCCCCTGCCCCCATCACAGGTTACAAGCTGGCTGCTCGTGTTCCTTTTTATGAATTTATACTTACCTATTTTAGGATGAAGGAGGACAGATTGGAAAAGGAAAATCAAACTGTGTAGAAACGAAGCATTTACCTCACCCACGACCTGGGTGCTCTGCATAAGGGAAACACAAGATGAAAGACCAAATTTAAAAAAAAAAAAAAAGGCAACTATGATTCAAAGCTGCTTCTCTGAATTTCTAGTACACATTAACACCCCTCCCTCCCATTTTCCAGCACCCCAAGAAATTTCCTTTACGCCTTGTTTTCAAGAAGGGTGGCACAGCATGGTAATGTCAGACCTGGGAAGTGTCATTTTTGGAACTAAACTACGTTTTTTGGAATTAATTACATGTGGTGCTGAGGTCAGTTTGTTTCTTCACCTTTCATGTGCAGAACCCCTTGGCTTCAGGCCATTCTTGATCTTTCACAAGAGACTTTGTTTTCCTGTGGAATAAGAATAGTCTGTGTAAGGTGATCTGGAGCCTTCATTTTACTTCTTAACACTTTTATAGGTGTGTTTAAACCTCCACCCTGTTGAATATATGTATATATATATATATATACACACGTCTCTGTAGGTAATTATGTGCATAGAGAGACAGACATAAAATCAGGGAAAGAGAATGGGACAGAAAGGACTGGAAAAATGTCATTTTAAGTCACACAGACCCCAACAAATCTTGATGTGCTGTGTGAGACACCTGGGCCACCCACCCCCACGAACAAATTCTGTGTGAATGCCCAAAATCCACGATCTAGGGCAGTCCATCAGTGCTCTGGAGTTTGTTCACTTCATATCTTTAACCTAAATCATGTGGGCAAATCTTTTCACCACCATTAAGGCACCTGTGTGGCAGTTGCTGAGTCAGAGCAGGGATTTATATTTGCTGATCTAGTCTTGAAGGCTGTTAAAAACATTGAAAAAGTGGCTCTGCCGTGCCCAGGAATCTCCCCTGCAGCCCCCGGGGTGATCCTGCACTGTCTGTCGGGGATTTCTGTCTGCTCAAAACTAGTTTTGTCCCAGCTGCCCCAAGCGGTGCCTGTTGGCCCCCTCTGGTGGCAACCCCGACAGAAAGGAAAATTAAATTCAAAATAAAATAAAATAATAAAATAAAATAAAATAAAATAAAACGTGGAATTTGCCCCCTCAAAGCAGATTTACCACTGACTGAGCAGGACAGGAAACCACTGAGGCATTTTAGAGGAAAACTGCACTGGTGCAGCTCCTGCTGTGGGTGTTCTGTGCAGGGACAGTCCCCTGTCACTTGGACAGGTTTGGGCAGTGCTGGAAAAACTGATTTTCACACAGAGCTGTTTCCTGTGATGCTCATCATCACATCAGTTGTGGAGATGATGCTCTGCTCTCTGCAGTTTCATGTCTGGTGGCTACATTTGCACCTCAAAGACACCTACCTGAGGTGCCAGCAGCTCCTTTTCTCCTCAGCCAGGGCTGGGGCAGAGAACAGAATCCCAGAATCATTAAGGTTGGATGAGATCTCCAAGATTAAGTCCAACCTGTGTCCCATTCCCACCTTGTCCCCCAGCCCAGAGCACTGAGTGCCACGTCCAGCCCTTCCTTGGACACCTCCAGGGGTGGGGACTCCACCACCTCCCTGGGCAGCCCCTGCCAAGGCCTGACCACCCTTCAGTGGAGAAATTCTTCCTGAAGTCATGATGGTCTGAGGCTGAGCAGAAACACAGGAGAGCCTGGAGGCTTCTTTTCAAACTGAAGACCTTCCTTTGAGGACAGAGGAGCAGAGAGCTGCTCCCCACAGAGCTGCCACAGGCACAGGCTCTTGGAGAACTCTGCACTTAGTTAAGCTGAGCCCAGCCCTGTTCGGGGGGGAGTGTGGTTTGGAAATGTGTTTTCTTGGACTTTCTGGAGGTAGATACACATGTCATAGAATCCCAGAATGGTTTGGGTTGGAAGGGACCTTAAAATCATCCAGTTCCACCCCCTGCCATGGGCAGAGACACCTTCCACCAGCCCAGGCTGCTCCAAGCCCCTCCAACCTGGCCTTGGACACTTCCAGGGATCCAGGGGCAGCCACAGCTTCTCTGGGCAACCTGTGCCAGGGCCTGCCCACCCTCCCAGTGGTCAGAGATGTCTGGTTAGATGAATATTCACCACTCTAACACAGGAATTCACAGTGACCCTTTAGCAGTCCCACTCCATCTCAGACTGAGAAAATTCCTTGTAAAATGATTAAGAGAAACAAGAATGAAATTACTTTCACTGACAACTGATTATTTTCTCTATTAGAGCAAACTCATATTCTGCTTGCTGAGTAAAGACTGAGATCCTTCCTCATCAGCACCCAGATCACTCCAGACAGGGTGGAATTCATTGTCAGGAATTATTTCTGAGCTGCCACTGTAGAATGTAATCTATTTGGGCTCCCACTGGTTGATTTTTTGCATTCCAAACAATAGCATTACATGCAACATTTCTGCTGTTAGAAAAGACAGAAGTAATACCAGTAATATTTCAAAGGGAGTTCTGAAGTTTTATTCCAATCTCTACTCAGTTGTCACGAAAATAAATTGCATTAGTATCTGCTGGTTTCACTTGCTGGGAGACTTCCCAGGGGAGAGCACAATAAATTAGTGCCTTTTAATTTTGTTTCTGTTGCCCTGACTACAAAACACGCTCTGGGATATCACCCTTGTCCCTCACACCAGCTCTGAGGGAGGTTTGCAAGGTGACCACCTCACTGGTGGCAATGTCTCAATTGCTTTACCAAACACTTCTCTATTAAATGATTTAATGCAGTGTAATCTCGTTGGGGACAGAGTATCTCCCTCCTGTCATGTAAAAATTCCTTTTATTATCCACAGAGGGCAGAAATGCTCATATATTACATTGACAAATAACAGTTCCCTGTGCCCTGAGTGTGTGTGAGAGGGGCAGCCCAGAGCAGGGGGCAAAGAAAGGTGTTGAGAGGTTCTGGCAGAGGGGCCTTGGGAGGGTTTTCAGCCAAAACTCTCCTCAGTCCCAGATATGATGATTTGTGTGCACAGAGTCCGTGAGGGTTTGTGAGGGAGGATGTGGGGTAGGGGACAAAAAGCTTGGAAGCACCTGGTTTTTCAAATCATATCTCTCAGTTTCTGTTCATCCCCTACCCCAGCAGCTTTCCTGCACAGCTTAGGAAGGTCACCTGGAGAAATCCTGTCTCGACAGGTAACTCTGCCCATTCCTTACTCAGGCGTGGGAGGAGAAAAATGCACAAATGACTTTTTACAGATATCTAATTCACTGGAGAACCACAGAGTCATTTAAACTGGAAAAGAGCTCCAAGTCATCGAGTCCAAGCATTAACCCAGCACTGCCAAGCCCACCTGGAAGCACCTCTGCCATCTCTGCAGGACACAGAATTTGGCATTAGAGCAAAGCATTGCTTTGCTGGGAGCAGACACAGCTCTACACTTCAGCATGGCTGAGAACATGGTCACATTAGGCCAAACTCTTAATTAAAACTATTCCTAAATATTTAAGACTAAAAGATGAAGTACCACAAACTGGCCCAACATGACTTCTCTCACTGTCCAACCATCTTCCTTCTCCCCTCACCACCTGCCATTTAATTCACACACAGAAATAAAGTGCTCATGTTGTAAGACCACTACACTGAAGTTGTTTCTCGTGATGGGCCTCATTTCTCCCAGGAGATATCAGATGTTCTGTTAAAGTTGGTACCAGGTTCCCAGCTTTCTTCTTCTTGGACATGCTGGTGGGGAGAGGCTCCCCAGGGGAAGTGGTCACAGCACCAAATCTGACAGAGCTCAAGAAGCTGTTCTCAGTCAGATGGTTTAGTTTTAGGTAGTCCTGTGAGGAGCAGAGAGTTGGTCTTGATGATGCTTATGGGTCCCTTCCACCTCCAAACACTCTGTAGATCTGTGGTAAGCTGGACTTAGCCTGGTTAGTCCCCACAGTTGGTTTGTACCCAGGTAAGAGGAGCTGTTTTAGCCTGGATACCAAAAATCCCGGTGGGACCACTTGGTGTGTGAGAGTGAAAGGATGTGACACAGAGTTTCCAGCACTGAGGAACTCTCAGGGTCTTTCCTCAGCTCTTGAGAGAACTTTTTGCTCCTGGAGGGCATCGCTGGAGGTTTCTGAGCTGTCAGGGACTTCACTTGTGTGGAATAACATGCAAGCAAGCACAGCCCTCGGGGTCCTGTGTCTGGGTGGCAGAGCTGTGATGAATCAGAGGCAAGACCTCAGAGGAATCCTGCTGCATTCCAGCCTTGGAGCTTGTTTCCTGGGAAGTTCTCATGTCACACTGATTGAGGACAATCTCCTGCACCATTTTGACCCCTGGTTTTACATCCCAGCAAGCAGTAGGAGCAGAGGTGAGGCAGGACAACATTTTCATGCTCAGACCTGTGTGGGAGCTTCAGTTATCACCCAGCCTTGTCTTCCCAGGGACAAACTCTGGTTCTCAAGGGTGTCCATCCCACTCTGGCCACTCCATGGAGGTTTTCAGGGCTTGTTCCTCTGAAACAGCCCCAATAGAACCCACACACATTTCTTACTGCCCTGAGAGAATCACTGACTGTGTCAGAAATGTTAGAAAACGTTCTGTGTGAGAAAAACATGTTAGAAAAACAGATCTGTGATGAGGGAAACGTTTCAGATCCACTTTTAAGGCAGGGTTGCACTTGAACATGGCTATGCCCTGCTCCCAGGATAACCATCCCTTCTCTTTATTCTCTTTCAGGCACCTGATCCTGCCATGGAGGGCATCAAAAAACCCATCAGGACGGGTAAGACACCTAAAAAATACATGTGATTTGACTCATCTCTGATGCAAACACCACCCAGGGTCACGAATAAGCCAATTGTGCACATCTTAACATTTCACATTAAATCTCCTCTTGGTGAAGAGCCAAAGTAGTGGGGAAAAAAAATGAAACTAATAAGAAAAAAGCTTTTAAATTACTCAGTACATCCAGAAGCCATGGCAGAGGAAATAACAAATATATGTGAATGTGCCCTGGAGGAGCCTTTTTGCCAGATGATGTGAACATCACTGTGACTTTTAGGTCTTATTTTAAGGGCTTCTCTTACACGTGTGTGTTGTGTCCATATCTTCACAAGGCAGGGGGGGAATGTGTTGCCACATATTTCAGAACAGCTGAAACTCCTCCTGTGCTCCCTCTGGCCTGGAGCAGTCCTGTGTTTCCTGCTGGTCTGTGGGGCAAAGGGAGATCCAGAAGGGACAAGTGTTCTTACAGCACCAAAAGGCACAGGCACGGAATTGAAACAGGCAGAGTGTGAGCACAGGGAGCCCAAAACAGGAAAAAAACTGCCTAGCAGAGACAGCATACCACGGTTTTGCTTTTGCTGAGTGTAAATCAGGAGGAGAACTATTTATTGCACTGACATTGGCTCCCTGGGTACACGGCTCTTAGCACCAAGGATTTGACTTCTTGCAAATCTAAGTTCATGTTCAGACCCAGAGGAGAGAAGATACCATTGTCTTCTGCTGCAGACGGGAAAAGTGAAGCCCAGTGTTCATCTAAAAATGGTGCAGAATGGGAGATTAAAGGTCACTTGGCTTGTTCAGCTGGAGGAGACTGAGGTCAGACCCCATCAGGGTCTGCAGCTCCTCCTGAGGGGCAGCTCCAATCTCTGCTCCCTGTGAGCAGGGACAGCACCCAGGGAATGGCTGGAGCTGTGTCAGGGCAGGGTCAGGTTGGATCTCAGCAAAAGGTTCTTCCCCCAGAGGGTGGTTGGCACTGCCCAGGCTCCCCAGGGCAGTGGGCACAGCCCCAAGGCTGCCAGAACTCCAGGAGGGTTTGGACAACGCTCTGAGGGACAGGGTGGGATCATTGGGGTGTCTGTGCAGGGCCAGGGGTTGCACTGGATGATCCTGGTGGTTCCCTCCAACTCAGGATATTCTGTGATTCCGTGAGTCTAAGTAACAAAAGTTCAAGGTCCAGAGAATCCCAGTAACAACCTTTCCTGCATCACTTGGGAACCGCTTACTCTGTTTTGGATAATTTTTGAATTCTTGGCTCTCCCATACTGGGCTTGTTTCCTAGCCCAGGGGGCAATTTCCTGAGGACCCCTGACAGGGAGCTCTGTCATCTGCTGCCAGGTATCACCTCCTGACTACTAAGCAAGGAGCTGTGGCAAGTGCTGCAAGGTCCTACCCAGAAACAGAGGTAGAAGAAACACTGCAGGAGGGGAACTGTGCTGAGGCTGAAGCTGCTGTGGATTTAGATTTGGATCTGTCTCTGCCCAGGTGTTGATGATGTGGTTTGAATGTGTTTTGTGCCCAAGTTGTTCAAACCAGAGCTTTGAAGCTGTTAAAATGGGCAAGTTAAAAAAGCAGCATCGCCCAGTTGCCAGCTGGGTGCTCAGCCTGGCACCAGCCCTGGGTTGGTACCTGCTGGTGCCAAACATCTCAGAGATGCTGGTGGGGGATGCAGGACTGCACCCCATCCCTGGGAGTGTCCAAGGCCACGTTGGACAGGGCTTGGAGCAACCTGGGCTAGTGGAAGGTGTCCCTGCCCATGGCAGGGGGTGGAACTGGATGATCTTCCAGGTCCCTTCCAACCCAAAGCAGTCTGGGATTCTGTGATGCTCCAGTTCTCTGGTGAGACAAGCTGGAGTTCACTCAGGTAGAGACTAAAATGCCAACGGGCACAAGTCCAGACCCAGCTACAACTCTGAATTAATTTTGTCTTATCAAAGCAGGAAAACAGGATGATTTCATTGAGATTTCCAACGAGATTATGTCCTGTTGTTAACTAAACACCAGCGGGCACTAAAGCAGACTTATGGGAGGTTTATGGCCCTGACTCAGCTGTCAGCCCTCAATGGATGGGCCTGCAGGAATCTGCAAGCACAAGCTGAGGGCGATGCCATGTCAGCTAATTAAATGCTTGTGTGAAAAATGGCATCAGTCTCCTCAAATCCCCCGTGCCACTGTCAGGGGAGCACCTGAGCAACGAAATCCATCACCCACTAAATGGTGGTGAAATGTTCTCTGTGGAATTATTCCTCTGTGGAAACTCGTCCCTGTTTTGTAAATATTGGATCATATTTTAATATGGGCCAGAGGGGTGTTGTGGTTTGGTTCATTTTTTAGAGGGAGAACTAAGTCACAGAGAAATTTATAACCTTCAGACTTTGGAGGGGCTCAGCCCTCATCATCTCCTTGTTGTCCTCTCCAAGCCTCACTTCCCCATGAATCCTGGGCTGATGGCTTTTCTTGTTATTTGAACTGTAAAGATTTGGTGCTTAAATCTCTCCTAATTTGCAAAAGGAAAAAAACCTGCAGGTACATATCCACACACACACTTTACAGGTATTTTTGTCTGGCAGTAAGATCCATTTGCAGATGATGGAGAGACCAGGAAAGGAAATCCATCACCCCATTCACAGTTTCAATGGGAAATAGGCTCCCAAATCAAAATCTGGCTCTGAGAAATTAATATAATACAGGTGACAGTCACATACTTGATACCACAAAGTAAATCAGGCTGAAACCAGTGAACCAAGAAGCCTTTTAGGATTTGCAGCAATATCTCAGAGGGCACCTTGGTCTTCTGCAATTAAATCTGATCTCTTCCAACCTGGAATTCTCCCAGTGCAACACTTTGGGAAGCAGCTGAGGGAGCTGGGGGGGCTCAGCCTGGAGAAAAGGAGGCTCAGGGGGGACCTTCTGGCTCTGCAACCCCCTGACAGGAGGGGGGAGCCGGGGGGGTCGGGCTCTGCTCCCAGGGAACAAGGGACAGGAGGAGAGGGAACGGCCTCCAGCTGTGCCAGGGGAGGGTCAGGTTGGACATCAGGAGGAATTTCCTCATGGAAAGGGTGGTCAGGCCTTGGCAGGGGCTGCCCAGGGAGGTTTGGAGTTCCCACCCCTGGAGGTGTCCAAGGAAGGACTGGATGTGGCACTCAGTGCCCTGGGCTGGGGGACAAGGTGGGCATCGGGCACAGCTTGGACTTGATGGTCTGGGAGGGCTTTTCCAACCTCAGTGACTCTGGGATTCCGTGATGACACTGCAGGTCACTAATCCCATGACAGAGGGTTCTTCAGAAACGGAGATTTCACCCTTAGACCATAAAGATTTTTGCCTTCTCCCCCTCAGCAATGTGTCTGGGTGCACATGGGTGACACTGTCTGAGGTCTGTCTGTGCTGGGAAGGTCAGGGCAGGGGAGTTCTGTCTCTCACCTTTAAAAATTCGGGCAAGCCTGGGCTTGCACATGCTGGAAAGAGAGCACAGGCAGGAAACTGCAGCCACACACATTCCAGTTAGTCATAATGGGAGCTGGTTGCTTGTTTAATTGATAATGGGATGATTGGTGTTGCTCAAAATGCTAAATGTTAGATCTTCCCTCCCACCAATACTTAAAACACAAGTTATAGATGAATATATATATATATATATAAATAGCTCATGGGATTGTGTGACCTGTGCTACACTGATGAGCATGTTAGAGATTTGAATAGTTTTGGCCTTAAACACAAGTTATTGATGAATATATATATGTGTGTGTGTATATATATTATATATGTATATATATGTTTATATGTATATATGTATCTATATATATGTGTGTGTATATATGTATATATATGTTTATATGTACATATGTATGTATATATATGTGTATATATGTGTGTATATATATGTATATATGTTTGTATGTATATATGTATGTATATATGTATATATATGTGTGTATATATATATATACACATATGAATAGCTCATGGCATTATGTGACCTGTGCTACACTGAGCATGTTAGAGATTTGAACAATTTGGGCCTTACACTCTACAGGTTTTGCAGTGGTCAGGTGTACAGTGATGAATTCGTAAGGTATTCCTCCTAAATTTGGGGGGGACAAAGGGATATTTCTTTAGTTTATGCTTTTGGGAAGGAGGGGAAATTGGCAGCTGAGTTCAGTGCCCTTTCAGTGCTCAGGAGCAGAGACAGCCTTGGGCTCTCAGGGACCGAAGGACTCGGTGTGTGGGTGCCAGGCACAGCCAGGAGCAGAGCCCAGCTCTGTCCCTGAGCCCAGCTCTGTCCCTGACCCCAGGAGGGGATGTCACCCAACTGGAATTGTCACAGCATCGTGGGCTGGAACAGTCCCTCAGCACCAGCCAGTGCTGTTTGCAGGGCACTGAGCTGGGAGGAGAGTGCTAAAGACACAGGGACTTCAGAGAGTGGCTGCTGAGAAATGAAATTAAGCAAATCCTGCTAACTCTGGCGTGCTGACAGAGATGGATGATGTCCCCTTGCCTAATTTTATAAGCACTTAAATCCATGGGGGTTGCAGAGGAACTGAAAGCTGCTTGTTGCCTCCTTGTACTTCTTTACTTCACAATCCATATTCAGGTTTTTGACCTGCTCTTGTGCCTGCCACGCTCAGCCTCCAGCCAGCTGTGGTGCCACCCACAGGGCACTGGAATGTCACAGCAAGGGCTGAGTGGGACCAGGACAGCCTTCAGAAGCCCCATCTGAGGGGCTTTCCATGTCTGGGTAGCAACACCTTCCGTGCTGAGATGCCACTTTCAGCTCTTGGTTTGTGCCCTTTGGTGGCACTCCCGTCATACCCATCTCAGAGTGGGGAAACAGAGGCAGCCAGCAGTGAGGAGAGTTTTCCAGGCAGAGTCACATCCTCGTGGACCTGCCTGGCACCAGCCCATCCATCCACCTGTCCCAAACCTGTTCTTCCTGGCTGGACAAAGTGCTGCTGTGTTTTGATGAGACTCTTTTCAACTTACACCTCAGGGGGAAATCCTGAGGGTTCAGTGAGGCTGCAGCTCCCATTTCCCAGCCCTGCTGTGCATCCCTTTGGCTTGGGGAAGAAAAGCTGCATTAAGCTCATGGAAATAGCCTGGCCCTTTTTCTCACCCTCTGGATGCTCATCCTGTGGTAAGAAGGGTCAGGGAGACAAAAAGGAGTTGTCACCTGCTTCTTTAGGGCAAAATAGCTTAAGTGGCCTTGCTTGAAGCAGATGATCTCCAGCTTCTGTGCATCACACCACGAAAGCAGGGTGGTCTTCTTGCTACTTTGTCCCAAATGTGGCTTTGTCTTTCCTCCTCCTCACAGTATTTTTAAGCTCCTATAATCCTATTGATTTTGGAGGGATTACTCCTGATTTACACAGTGAACAGTGCAAAGCCAATTAGGTGATGTGATCGAACACATCCATCGATCACTCCTGAAGCTCTGCTAATTTCAGCCTCTCTTGGCTTGAGCTGAAATGTTTCAGATAAAAGAAATTAACTTGAGAAATAAAAAACCAGTTATAAGCTGCTTCAGCAGAGCAAGAACCAGAACAGCCTTCATAAAATGATGTATTTCTTTTTTCATCACTTGCCTTCTGGAAAACACAGGATAAATGGTTTAAACGCAGACACACGGAATTTGCTGACAGCAATAAATGTGAGTACAGCTTTGGAAATGCAAAGGGCAGCCAGATCCGCCAGGGGAGATCTCTGGAGGTGCCATGAGACAGCTCAGGACTGGCCAAGCTCGGGGCAGCTCCAGGCTGGTTGTGGGCAGGCTCAGCACTTTGCTCGCCTGGCAGATGTTGCAGCTTCCAAGGTCTGCTTGTGCAGCAGGGGATTTTCAGCTTTATAGGGTAAACCCCCTAAATGCCACCGAGTTTCTGCAAAGAATCCCTGCTGGCCTTTATTTCAAACTGAAGCTGTTACAGTGTTATCAAGCCTTTGGTAACACGGAGTCAGCAGCCTGAGCTCACTCACACTACTCGTCCTGCCAGAAAGGTTCTCTCCCATCCTTTGCCCTATCTCCCCATCTCTGCAGTGCCTGTGCCCTCACCAAAACACTACAGTGACATGACTAACACTAGGAAAGTAGGGTTTGTTTTTTCTTTGGGGATTTCCAGCGTGTTGAAGGGACTTTGGTGCATGGCTTACTCATTGTTGGAGCACTGTGAGCTCCTGCTTTCCCCAAAAGTGTTTCAACCATGAAATCAGAGAAAGATTGCAATTTTTTTAAGATATCCACAGCCTCCTTCTCCAACAGAGAATGCAAAGGCTGCAATGCACACACAAACACACCCAGACAGGGGACTTGTGTGGGAGCAGCTTCTCCCTGATTTATCCATCCTCCTGACGAAGTCTCCCTTAAAAATCAGGCCAGGCAGTTACTGCGAGAGTTTGGAGATTTTAATCTCTTTTTATTACCCTTAGTTTCAGGAATCCTAGAAAACTTATGATTATTGTCTCACTCTGCATTTAATAGGCTGCTTCTTGTTAGAATGATTGAATCACAGAATATCCTGAGTGGGAAGGGACCCACAAGGATCATCAAAGTCCAGCTCCTGGCCCTGCACAGACACCCCAATGATCCCACCCTCTCCCTCAGAGCGTTATTCAAGCACTCCTGGAGCTCTGGCAGCCTTGGGGCTGTGCCCACTGCCCTGGGGAGCCTGGGCAGTGCCAACCACCCTCTGGGGGAAGAACCTTTTGCTGAGATCCAACCTGACCCTGCCCTGACACAGCTCCAGCCATTCCCTGGGTCCTGTCACTGCTCAGAGAGAGCAGGGATTGGAGCTGCCCCTCGGGAGGAGCTGCAGACCCTGAAGGGACACCTTCCACTAGCCCAGATTGCTCCAAGCCCCGTCCAACCTGGCCTTGAGCACTTCCAGGGATGGATATTCAGTGCCTTTAACTGAACGCTCAGCACGGTGAGAGGAGGAAAAGCTCACACAGAGGAGATGGAAAGGGGGAATGCGGCTGGAAAGGAGGTGAAATGCAGGAGCAAATGGTGGGGAGTGGGGTCCAGGGAGCACGAGCTGGGTCACCGGGATGCAGCGCCGGGACACAGAAGCTGGAAAACCGGGATATGGCGCCGGGATGCAGGGGATGGAACACCGGGATGCGGTGCCGGGACGCGGAGCTGTTGGCAGCCCTGCGGTGCGATCGGCACCGGCTGCAGTGCCGGGCGCGGCCGTGGGATGGAGCCGTCCCCGCATCCCGTGGGATGTTCCCGTCTCCCCGCGGCTCCGTCGGGGCAGCCCCGGCGCCTCCCCGTCCCGGCCCTTTGGATTTGGGGGCATTCCCGTGACACAGGGGCTGGCTGTGGGCAAACCCTGCCCTCGGGTTGGGCAGCAGCAGCTTTCGGGTCCCCAGTGCCCAGAGAAGCTGTGGCTGCTCCATCCCTGCAAGTGTCCAAGGCCAGGTTGGAGCAACCTGGGCTAGGGAAAGGTGTCCCTGCCCATGGCAGGGGGTGGCACTGGATGGGTTTTAAAGTCCCTTCCGCCAAACGAGTCTGTGATTCTATGACCAATCTCATCTAAAGTCCCGGTGAAATCCACATTTTGACCATGAGAGAACAGAGCAACATTCCAAAAGCACCCAAAGAGCCATTTTCAGAAGTATGCTCCAGTTAAATGTTTTAAAGCTTCCTGTAATTGCACCATAAAAATAATTTGGTTAAATTAAGCTTACCTGCACACAATTTGTATTTCATATAACCATAGAATCCCAGGATGGTTTGAGTTGGAAGGGACCTCAAAAATCACCTCATTCCACCCCCTGCCACGGGCAGGGACACCTTCCACTATCCCAGGTTGCTCCAAGCCCCTCCAGCCTGGCCTTGGACACTTCCAGGGATCCAGGGGCAGCCACAGCTTCTCTGGGCAACCTGTGCCAGGGCCTCCCCACCTTCATTGTAAAAAATCTTCTTCCTTACATCTAATCCAAATTGCCCCTCTTTTAGTTTAAAAGTTTTACCTCTGTTTGTAAGAAGGAGAATAAGAAATCTAATTTGTTTGGCTGAGAGCTGCAATCTGCCAGAGCTTTGAGATGTTACAGATTTGCCAATCGAGTTACACTGCTGTGAATTCCCCCTGCAGATCAGATATTATCAGCCAAGGAGTAAGAACCAGCTCCTCCCTGCTGCTCCAGCTGCTGCTGTGCAGTTTGTCCTTAGCACAGGTAGAGCAAATAACTGGAGTACCAAATGCTGATGGCGCTTCACAGTACCAAAGAAACCCCCCAAAAGAACCAAAACCAAAAACAAACAAAAAAAAAAACCAAAAAAACCCCACCAAAAAACCAAACAGAAAAACAAAAACAAAACAAAACAAACAAACAAACAAACAAACCAAAAACAAACAAAAAACCAACATAAAATAAAAACCATTAATGATCACTTAATCTGTTGTTTCCTTCAGGGAACACCTTTGAAGACTATTCCAGAATCCTACAGCGTGTCCCAACCAAGGGAGCTGCTGCCTACATGAGAGGTCAGTGAAGGGCAAGACCTGCTCCTGTTACTCAAACTGGGTTTAGTGGTAAATAGTTTTGATGACTAAATGGGCATTTTCTAGGAAAATAAATCCTTAGCTTTCCTGGAATGTGGGTTTGGTTGGCAAACCCCTATCTGATGCTATAAACCATTTTTTAATTTGACTTTGAAAAATTAAAAATAAAGAGCTATGTTCTGAGCACGCACATGAATATAAATCTCCATTATTGCCTTTCAAATACCAAGTGGGAAATAATGGAGATGTACATTCAAGCATCTGCCTGGCTTGGATTTCCTGAGGGCTGCTTAAGTCCTTGGAAGTTCTTAACTCCCCATTTCCATGTGTGACTTCCCAGCTGCCTGGCTTTTTCTCAGAGTTTCCTGCAGGGAATTACTGAACAGGTATCTCCTTTTCCCAGCCAACACTCTGCTGGAAGTCACCTCGGGCTGAATTCAGGTCACTGGAGCTCCTGGTAACACCTCTCTGCTTTCCTTTCCAGTGGCCAGCCCAGGGAACAGTTCCAAGCTGAGCCTGGTGGACAAGGGGATTTGTGAGGACATCCAGTGCAGGAATGAAGAGCTGGTGATAAAGGAACAAGGTGTCTACTTGATCTACTGCCACTTGAACTTCCACCTCCCCAACTGTTCCAAAAGCCCCACTGACCTCAAGATAGAGCTCCTTGTGAACGACAGGGTGGACAGGCAGACGTTGTCCACGTGGTGTGAGTCAGAAAGGTGCCAAGGGAAGGCTTTTAAGACCTTGTTCCAGCTCCATTTGACACACCTGAAGGTGGAGGACCGAATATCAGTGGCACTTAATCATCCTCAGTTCCTGAATGAAGATTCCCTTCCCAACGAGAACGTCCTGGGGGTGCTGATGTACAGCGACCAGATGTGAGCAGCCCCTGACTTCCCACCTTGCTCTGAACATCAGTAGCCTGCTTTTACTAGGCAACACCTTGGTTTTAAATGTCCTGTCTTACCTCAACCCCAGGGTGAACAAGGAACTCTGTGAGTGTCCCAGAAAAAAAAAAACAAACAACAAAAACAACGAAACAAAACACTGCAAGAGCCACAGCTGGCAAAGGTCCCTGTGCTTTGGATCCCAGTGGGATTGTTGGACTATCCAGAAACAACCCACGGGTGTGCCAAGGGTTCCTCCAACCAATCTGTGCAAACACAGCTTAAAACTCAACCAGATTATGGGGAGAATAAGCAATATGGAGACTTTTAGGGTAGCAGGCTGTTGGCTGTGCTGAGGAGATGGGGAATGGAGCAGTATTTTGACCTGGTCTTTCCAAACAAAACTAGCAGTCAAAGCTTGTAATTGAGGCTTTCTTTACAAACCACAACTCTGAAGTAGATTTATGGATAGATTGGATGACAGCCAAGGTGATGAAATCATTGACTCTTGGGCTGGCAGCTGAAACTCTGGGACAGGACATAGGAAACATGGGATTTACAGGATATTTCTGTGCTGTGTTCTGCTATGGACTTTATGCAATTTACTTCAAGTGTCCTCCTTTTCCCTATTTATCCATCTTTCCTATTTAAATATAAAGCTCTCTGGGACAGAGACTTTGTCCATGCACAGTGCTCAGGCTCTGTTCTCACCCGGGGTTTTTAGACCTTTTCATACCAAATATTAAAGTAACAGTCGAGATGCAAATCCAGCAAATAGCAAAGTTCCTTGTGATACATTTTCCTTGAATCCCTGCCCTGCCTGTCTGACAGTTCCTGTGTGACCCAGACCACACTGGGCTCTAAACACACCTCCAACACTTGCTGAAAAGCCAAGAGTCAGCTCTGAGGTCCAGACTTTCCCAAATTTGGGACTGGCCTCAGCTGAGAGCTGTGGTGTTTGGCAGCCCAGGGGGTGGATGGTGCTTGAGCTCTTTTTGGCTTACTGGAAAGTTCAGAAAATACAGGATAAAAGAGGAATCTTGGGCTCTCTTATTCCATGAATTGCAGCAACACATGCACTTATTTGAAGTTTAATTCTTACAGTGTGGGGAGGGAAGGGACCAAAATTTTACCGAATCTGGTATTAATTCACTCATTCCTCTCTTCCCTTCATCTCTGAGACTCCACTGAGGTCTGTATTTACCATTGTGCAAGTTTTTCCCCTTGCCTGGCTGACATTTGTTACATGACTAGAGCTTGGCAAACTCTTCCCGTCAAAACATTTACTCATGGATTTAGTTTTTGGCTTCAGAACCCCGGTGGTTTATTACTCAGCCTTAGTTGATGTTGTCGAGTGATGTAGCTGAGATTGTGTGAACACACTCAGATTATTCCTCCTGGTGGTAATTTGTTACTTGTGTTATGTCACCAGGAACTGAGGGTGCACATTAATGAGGTTTTGTCTCGTCGACCAGGTGACTTCAGAATACACAAGGCACTTTCTAAAGGTCAGGAGTAACTGATATGATTCGTTGCTAGAGATTATCTACTTTCTGTTTTGAAAAACAGTGATAAAAAAAAAAAATTCCTTTTGTTATTAATGGTTGTGGGGCAGGGAAAAAAAGAGAAAAGAAAAGAAAAGAAAAGAAAAGAAAAGAAAAGAAAAGAAAAGAAAAGAAAAGAAAAGAAAAGAAAAGAAAAGAAAAGAAAAGAAAAGAAAAGAAAAGAAAAGAAAAGAAAAGAAAGAAAAGAAAAGAAAAGAAAAGAAAAGAAAAGAAAAGAAAAGAAAAGAAAAGAAAAGAAAAGAAAAGAAAAGAAAAGAAAAGAAAGAAAAGAAAGAAAAGAAAAGAAAAGAAAAGAAAAGAAAAGAAAAGAAAAGAAAAGAAAAGAAAAGAAAAGAAAAGAAAAGAAAAGAAAAGAAAAGAGAAAAGAAAAGAAAAGAAAAATGAAAACAGGGATTTCTTTTCCTTTTCTTTCTTTTTCCCTTAACAAAAAGAAATTTATTTTTATAAGAGTCAGCTTGCCCTGCCTATGACTTTATAACCTCCACTGGGATCTCCTCACCCTTCTGGACTCTCTGAATCTCTCATGCCTCTAAACAGGGTTTTTAACCTCTATTTGCCTCCACTTTGATCCACATAACTGATTTCCAGAGAAGTTTAAGCCAGCCTGGCCGTGGGAACTCACAGCTCCTGAGTGTAGCAAAGGCAGCTAATGAATGAAAATATGAATTTACTCACACCTCCCATAGCCCTGCTTTTCCTGAAGGCTTTGAAAAGAAAGAGAAAGAGCATTCTTTACAAAATAAAGCAGCTCTCTGCTTAGGGTGATTTTATTCTATTATTTTGCCAGATGGAGGAAACCCTGACAAAGCAGTGCTAAGCTCCTCAGCCCCAGGCTTTTTCATACCACAGGATAAAGCAATCTGGCCTCTACTCCGTTGCCTCTGAGAAATAAGAATAAATTAGAGCCACAAAGAGAGCCCATTAATAGTGCCCAGTTTCCCCAGCAGTTATAGAAATGTTAAATAGCTTTCACTGAAGCAAGGCAGGCCCTGAGCCAGGCCTTGGTTTCTGACAGACTCTGAGTCACTTCTTTCTGTCATCCTTTTCTCCTTCTTTTTTTTTTTTTCCCTAAGTTTTTTGAGCAGGTGATTTTTAACAAATTAAAAAAAAAAATAACTCCAGGCTGATCCTTCCCCAAATGCTGTGTCTCTTCAGCAACATCAGGAGCAATTCCCTGTGGGATCTGTCCCCCCCTGTGCAGCAGGAGGGTCCTTGCCCTGCTGAGGAGCATCTTCTGAGGAACCAGCCCTGCCCTGGTTCCCCACCACGGGGCTCAGCCCTGAGAAAAGAGGGATACTGAAAGCACTGAAGTCATGGAGAAACTGTAAAAATTCCTCCCCTTGTCCTCAGATGAGCAAATGTGGGGATTTCTGTGCCTGTGCTCCATCATTAACTCCTCCAGGCACAGGGAGCAGCAGCAACAACCTCACAGCTCTGCTCTCTCTCTCTCTCAAGGTTTTTTGGCCCCTCCCAGACACTGAGGAAGTTGCACTTTTAAACTGATATCTGCTTGGCTAAGGGGCATTTTTAGGAGTTATTTATAATCTCGGTTGATAGGGAGAACATGCTTAATTCTGGCTGTTAATTGCTGTAGAAAACGTTAATAGGGGCTTCACAAGAGCAGCCGAGCTGATGGGACACGATTCCAGCCCAGCTCAGCCGGGGGCAGCAAACCAAGATCTGAGTTTAACATCCGAGATTACAGAGCTGGGAAGGCTTTGAAACCAGGACTGCAATTAGATTTCACAAGGCTGGATGGCACCTCCCGTGAAATTGGCCCCGACCCAAACTCCTCAAAGCTCACATCTGAAAATTAGGCCATGGCTTATCTGGCACAGATTCGTTTTCACTGAGGGACTTTCACATTCGCTCCTGGTTTTGTCTCTTTGCTTTTCTTCAGCCCAAGGGGAAAATACCACAGTCACTTAGGGAGAAATCCCTTGTTGTTCCAGGGGACAACCCTGCTAACCTAAAAATGCACAGCAATCCCTATTTAAAGATCCCTCTTGGATCAATAGTGCACTGACCTTCTGCAGGGCAACTGCCTGACTCTGCACTCCTCTCATCCACTCAGAGTCCTCTGAAGAAAAAACAGCATTCTGCAAAATCCTTTGGATAGTCCAATTGCTCATGCTCTTAAACTTCTATTATTATTCATAATTTTATTAGATAAAAAAGCTTCAAGCAGCTCTGCTGTTTTCAAGCACCCTGTCCTGAAGATGAAGTAAGGAAGGGACAACTCAACACAAATGACCAATCAAAAAAAAACCAAAATAAATAAGAAGCCTTTGCTTTTTGGGACCTTCAGCTGGGCCTTATTTACTCACAGGTCTTGAAAAACTGGAAGTGATACAGCTTGTGTTTGGTGTGAGCAGCAAGGGAAAACCTCAAAGCAAAGGCAGCTGCTGAAGGGAGAATAACTGAAAAAAAAATGCAAATTCTGGTGAGCAACACTTGTGGCAGCAGGAGCTGCACTTGGTGACCTCAAAACCTCTCCCAGCCTCGGCTTTTTACAGCTATAATAGACTCAATTTTAAGACAGTATGATGGAATGTGAGGATGCAGGGCTTGGAAAAGTGTTTTGGAAGAGCACTTTTTGCAGCCACACGTGGACTCACCACCCCCTAACTAGGGGGGCTCAGCTGAAGTGGTTTAAATTCCCAATTTCTTTTTTTTAGGAGCTTGCAGAGTTGGAGTGGAGGAGGGTAGAGCCCAGAGAAGGACAGTCTGAAATTCAGGTGTTTCCAAGGAGAGTGGTGGTTGTGAGACCCCAAAACCTGACCTTTCCCTCAGGGATAGAGCCTTTGGCCCCTCCTCTCTCAGCATCCCCCCGGAATTCCGTGGGATCCCTGCAGGCAGCAGCCACTGGCTCTGTTGTAAGGGGAGGGAGCCAAGTCATCAGTTTTCCCTGAGCTGACATATCCTGCAGTATTAACATACCACTTCCCTTCATGTCAACAGCAGCTAAATTTAGGCTCCCTAATTCCCTCTAACAGCCAGTGTGAAACAGGAACCTCCAGGTGAGTCAGAGCACCCAAAATAGCTGCCCGGAAAAGACAAACTCAGCTGCTCTGGGAGCTTTTACTCCATCCTGTCACCGGGTCCTCGGTCCCAACAGCTTCATTCAACTCAAGAGATAGAGAAAAGATTATTTAATATGGGGATTGATAATTTATGGACGATTTCCTGATAATTTATGGGCAGTTTCTACAGCTCTCCAGGGAGTGCTGCCTGTGCTTGGGGGCTGTGTGAGGCCCCGGGGAAACTCACAGCTCTCCAGGACAACATGTTCATAAAACAAAAAACAAGAGACCCCTGAGCAAGTTGTTATATTTATGGACACAAAAGAATAAGATTTGCCAGCCTAGGCAATTTTTATTCCCACCTACTCCTTGGCCTTGTCCAGACCTGACAGGAGAGCCACATTTTG